TCGATGCCCTCTCGTCATCTGGTTTAAACGTAGAAATCGTCCAGACCTTCAAACTTCTGGGAGTGATAATATCATCGGATCTTACCTGGAATGCGCACATTGATTACATCTGCACCAAAGCAAGTAAACGTCTTTATGCTCTAAGGATCCTCAAACGATCTGGTGCCCCAGCCAATGATTTAATAACGGTCTTTTGTGCATTTATTCGTCCAGTTTTGGAATACGCCTCACCTGTATGCCATTTTTCTCTCCCTCAATTCCTCGCTGATCAAATCGAGAGTATACAAAAACGTGCATTGAAAATCGCTTTCCCCCAGTCCTCCTATACTACCTCACTAAGAAACACTGGCCTTCTTACACTTTACCAGCGAAGAGAGAATCAGTGCTTGTCATTCTATAAGAATATCCATCAACACTCAGACGATAAGTTGAGAACGCTACTTCCCAGTGCTATATCTCACAAATTCAGTCTAAGAAATAAACGCACTTATCCTATGTATAAGTGCAAAACCGAACGATATAAGAACAGTTTTATCCCAAAGTGTGTTAGAAACTGGGACCGACCATAGACATAACAAAATATTTTATAGTACATATCATTAATATAGTTTATATTATAGTAGTTTTAAATTGAACTTTTTGCAAATTTAAAAATTTTAATACTATCTATGTAATATCACGTTTTTTAAATTTTTATTAATTTACAATGTGGTAATTATTAAAATCAATCAATCAATCAATCAATCAATCAATCAATCAAATAAAAGATTTTTTAAAGAGCGCCGACCCCGATTGAGCGCCGCCCTCGAATGAGCGCCGCATCTGAAGCTCTGAAAATTTAAAGAGCGCCGCGGCGCTCAAACGAGTAAATACGGTTTTCTAGTTTTTATCAATTGCAGTTTACATATGCATGTTCTTTTTGTCTAAAAAATTTTGTTTGCTATATAATTAGTAAACTCTGGACCTGTTTGTCTGGCCATGCACATCATGCATGCCCAGCATGGGCACATACACAAAAGACAGGACTTCGTAAACTATAATTAGATCGAGACCTTAAGCTTTTACGGCAGACGGCGCTAACCGCAACTTGTAGATTAAAATTGAAGCATGATCATAAATTACTAGCTACTTAGCTCTCGAAAACGTGACTGCATATAGGACTACACCTTCAATTCAGAAATGTGATTTGAAGTTTGGAGACAAAAAGTTAGTCGCTATCACGCATTTTGTGGGGTTTTTCAATGAATAATATTTTGCTTTTTAAAGATAATTTGGTTATCTTGACACCATAATGAATGTATAATAAACTACAATATTCTGAATAAGATCTTGACCTAGCTTGCAGGTTTAATTAGTGGTTTACATGCATGGTAAAAATAAATATAATTGTCAGTTTTGTTGTGCGCGGATACATTTATTTCTTTGCTTCGGCTTTGGTGAAGCTTTTGATCTAATTAAGTCTGGTATTCACATACCAAGTAGCGCTAACCACTGCCATCGCCTGCATTGAAACCATCGTTAATAGTTTCAAGTTAGGTCTGTAGGTTATTCTTTGCATGCATTATCGCGGCTGCCGGTTCTTTAAACACACATATATTTTTGAGGTAAAACGAAAAACTATATATATATATATATATATATATATATATATATATATATATATATATATATATATATATATATATATATATATATATATATATATATATATATATATATATATATATATATGCGGAGTTGTTAATGGTTGTCTATTAGCGATAATGCAAAGCTCACTTCCCTTGTGGTTGTTTGAGCACTCTGGCCCCATTACGCTCTGCGCATGTCTGGATGCGTTGAGTCACCGTGTTGTACCACATGCCTTGGTGAGAGCAAGTTCATGGGGTATATATACGAGTGTCTCACGTATCTAGACGTGTACTAAGCTGCACTGACGAGGCGGTGAACGCCGAAACATGCATGCCTGCAGATTGTACTATATATATATATATATATATATATATATATATATATATATATATATATATATATATATATATATATATATATATATATATATATATATATATATATATATATATATATATATATATATATATATATATATATATAGGCGAATGTCAATATTAAGTATATTGAGTGTCGAATCATACGAATAGAGTGCTCGATACGTAAGTAGAGCAAATGAAAGACAAACTTGAGTTACTTCATTTAAAACATTTATTCACGACAAATTTGTTTCGTATGGCAAACTAAGCTTGCCACACTCATCAGGTAACGAAGTAACTCAAGTATATATATATATATATATATATATATATATATATCCGGGCCGATTATTATGTTAGGTCTGCTGCCCTGCTCGAAAAATTTGGGTTGCCGACTCTAGATGAGAGAAGAAAACGGTTTAAAATGTCCATGTTGTTTAAAATCTTGAATAATGATGCTCCAACTTATTTGAAAGAGTTATTTAACTATAACGACGGAGCTCAATCCTTTGGGCTACGTAATGCGAATTTAAATCTGTCACTGCCATCAGTCAAAACAGAATTCTATTAACAAAGCTTTGCTTTTTCTGGCGCCAAGCTTTGGAACACCTTGCCAAATTATCTTAAAACAGAAACATCTTTAAAAAATTTTAAAGATAAATTGGCTACACATCAACTCTCTGTTCTCTAATATTGATATATACTTCATATAATTAAATTGCATGCACGGCTTACGGGAAGAACAAGGATGTAAATATGTAAATATGTATTCTCTTTGATGTAATTACCGTGTTGAAATAAAATTTTTAATAATAATAATATATATATATATATATATATATATATATATATATATATATATATATATATATATATATATATATATATATATATATATATATATATATATATAATTAAGCATTTGTAATTTGTAGTATTGAGCACTCTTTTATCTATAACGAAAAACAAAACTGTTTATATATATATATATATATATATATATATATATATATATATATATATATATATATATATATATATATATATATATATATATATGTATATATATCGTTCCAATAACAAAAAATGTTACAATACACACCAGGACTACAGGTAGTTTTCCATTAAGGTAGACTGCAGGAGGCAGGAAAGAGAATTCCAAGAGGGAAGATAAATAGCGTTCCAATAGGAAGGAAATGTTTGGATAAAAATGCTACAGTCTCTTTACCCTTGCACATTGATATTTTGTTATATTTCGATCAAGGTACAGTAGCAAGGTACAGATCGCGTTTTATATATATATATATATATATATATATATATATATATATATATATATATATATATATATATATATATATATATATATATATATATATATATATATATATATAGGCGAATGTCAATATTAAGTATATTGAGTGTCGAATCATACGAATAGAGTGCTCGATACGAAGGTAGAGCAAATGAAAGACAAACTTGAGTTACTTCATTTAAAACATTTATTCACGACAAATTTGTTTCGTATGGCAAACTAAGCTTGCCACACTCATCAGGTGAATCAGGTGAATGAGTGTGGCAAGCTTATCACACTCATCAGGTGAATGAGTGTGGCAAGCTTAGTTTGCCATACGAAACAAATTTGTCGTGAATAAATGTTTTAAATGAAGTAACTCAAGTTTGTCTTTTATATATATATATATATATATATATATATATATATATATATATATATATATATATATATATATATATATATATATATATATATAGGCGAATGTCAATATTAAGTATATTGAGTGTCGAATCATACGAATAGAGTGCTCGATACCTTAGTCACACGTAGGCGATTCTGTTGCAGGAAATTTCCCATTTTTACCGCGTATATGATGATACTTTATGGTTTGACGACACTCCCTAGATGGAAGGAATATTTGACATTCTTGTGGTATAGTTTTGTGTCATATCCTGCGCCAACCTAAATCCTCTACTCTCTACTCTCTACTCTACTCTACTCTACTCTACTCTACTCTACTCTACTCTACTCTGCTCTACTCTGACTACGCATAACACCTCGCCTCGATTAGCTATTGCTTTTTGCGGGTGTTTATATTTGTAATTATATCACACTTGCGTCGGTTTTCTTTGATCGTCCGAGGTTTATAACTAGCTTATATACCTTTAATAAATGATTAGATGAAACTTGTAGACAAAACGCGAGAATTTTTCATTAAAAAATTTTGAAAATGACAAAATATGTTGGAAAACCTCCGCAAGTGTGATATAAGTTAGTTATAAACCGAGTAGGAGGTTTATAACTGATATATTGCCCCTCGGACGCTACGCGTCCTCGGGTCAATATATCAGTTATAAACCTCCTACTCGGTTTATAACTCTTACATATTCTTGGTAATTGAATAATAAATCCTTTAACCCTTTTAATCCTTTAATTGTGTATAAAAAGCACCAACAATGTCAGGAATCGCCGCATTCATTGAAACATTCATACACACCTAAAGCGGGCTAAAACGTCTGCTTTCACTTTAAACAATGACGACCTTGTCCTTGATGAACGAGACCGAAATATTGTTGTATCGGAAACTGTATAGTAATTAACCTCAAACATCCTAATAATTCGTATCTTGACAATGAGGCCGAAATGTCTTTGTACATGACCGGACATTATTTCACGCACGCGGGTTTTTATTGTCAAATTCGGATGTATTTAAATATTTTACCTACGTGTTCGGCTGGTTTAAAAGCACAACATACGTACAAGAGCTCTTTATCATGAGACTTGCGAGCAGGCTTTCAAAACATAGCCTATAACACTGACAAAGGACACATATATATACTGTCACTTATAGCGACAAGCTACTGTACCTTGATCGAAATATAACAAAATATCAATGTGCAAGGGTAAAGAGACTGCAGCATTTTTATCCAAACATTTCCTTCCTATTGGAACGCTATTTATCATCCCTCTTGGAATTCTCTTTCCTGCTCCTGCAGTCTACCTTAATGGAAAACTACCTGTAGTCCTGGTGTGTATTGTAACATTATTTTTTGTTATTGGAACGAAATTTCGTTTGACAGAGATTCAAACTGCCCTACGTTGTTATAAAGAGACTGCCTTGGGAATAATCGTTGTTCTATTGCTCACTCCAGTTGTTGGGACGAAGTTACTGATGTTACCAAAGTTTCGAGAGGTTCCCAGGTCAGGTTTGGATGCAGAAAATGGTACATTGAACAATAGCTGGACAATTGAATTACCAGATTTTGGTCCGGAGGAATTTCGTATTGGGCTACAGATATTTTGTGTTTCTCCCTGTGCATCAGCATTTCCTACTGTAGTGGTGAGTACATTTTCAACCTAGCTGCGTGCATGCTTTGTCTTTTTGAAAAACGTGTCACTCCATTTCAAGCCTGCAATTGACCTAATTAAATGAATTATTAATATTTATGTCACGCTGGTGATATTGAGCAAATTTTCCCCCAGTATACCGCAGGATCGCATTTTCTGTGAACTTGCATGCGGTGAAAAATTGAAACTTTTTTATTTTGCACAGAACTGGTCACTTTCTGTAAGATGTCCGCTGACAATACAAGCCTGCACGAGTAGGAGAATTTTTGCTAAATTTGGCCAACGTGTATTGTGACGAAAAACTTCGCTCGATGAAAATCTTTTTTTCAGATAGGCATAGGTCTCCCGAAAAGGTCTTTTATTTAAAAAATCCATACAATTTGCTTTAAAATGCAATGCTTTGACATGCAATGCTTCAATGTACAGTAAAACCTCTATAATTTGTATTACATGAAGTACGTGCAACATCACAATAGCGTCACAGATCTAGAGGAAGTATATATCTTTACTCTTTGATAGCGTTGTGCATTATGTAATATATATCCCCAAGGTTGGCAACTAAATGCAAATTTAAAACTGTATGCACAAACTTAATGACGAAAAAACTCGTACATAAACATCGAAATTCATTAAAAAAACTAACTCACTATGGTATAAAGAAATAACTTTAGTAGTTCTACATTGTGTTTTTTTTTTCTTCTCTCATCACTTTTAAACGAGTTAATTTTCCGAGGAAAATTCATCAAATTCGTAACTCGATTTGATCAAAACTATGCGGGATGATGGCTCCCGGCGTAACGTCACAAAATAAAGCTCTCTGATTCGCTGGGAAATTTCAGCCAGCCAATCAGAGAGTTTTTTTTTCAAATTTAAAAAATTTTCAGCAAATCATGCAGAGAGCTTTATTCGTAACGCCGGGAGCAGTCATCCCGCATAGTTTTGACCAAGTTGAGCCATTTTCCTCGGAATTTTCGCAAAATTAACTCGTTTAAAAGTGATGAGAGAAGAAAAAACACAATAGGGCCATTTATACGGAACAAAATAAGACGCGACTTACATAAGACGCAACTTAAGTAAGACGCGAGTTTGTCGTATAAAAGGTACAAAATTCTTATGTAAGACGCGTCTTGGATAAGACGCGTCTTACAAAAGAACAGGTCTTTTAGCTGTTCTTATTTAAGTCGCGTCTTAAATAAGAAATTTTGGACAAAAAGTCTAACTACACATGCCAGAAACTTGAAACAACGTAAATTTAATGCCTTGCATGTTAAAACAAAAACAACCAAAACAACATTATAGCTATAGCAAATAAATAAGACCAAAGCCATAGAGAACCATTTATGCGATAACTCCACTTATTTAAGTCGCGTCTTATGTAAGTCGCGACTTATTTTGTCACGTATAAATGGCCCTAATGTAGAAGTACTAAAGTTATTTCTTACCATAGTGAGTTAGTTTTTTTTAATGAATTTCGATGTTTATGTACGAGTTTTTTCGTTATTAAGTTTGTGTATACAGTTTTAAATTTGTATTTAGTTGCCAACCTTGGGGACACGGGTAAAAATTGATCATGTTGTTCGGCGTTGTTCAAAACAGGAGCGAACAATGATGTGCTGCACCCCGTGAACAATATTGTTAACAAGTTGTTCAACCATCAGTACTGTTGCAACTTGTTAACATGATTGTCAACAAGTTGCAACAATATTGATGGTTCAACAACTTGTTAACAATATTGTTCACGGGGTGCAGCACAACATTGTTCGCTCCTGTTTTGAACAACTTGCATCAACATGATGATTTTTACGCGTGTACATAATGACACAACGCTATTGTGATGTTGCGCGTACTTTATGTAATACAAATTATAGAGGTTTTACTGTACATTGAAGCATTGCATGTCAAAGCATTGCATTTTAAAGCAAATTGCATGGATTTTTTTAAATAAAAGACCTTTTCGGGAGACCTATGGTTTAGGTGCTATTTAAAATATGAGCAGTTGGGTTTTATCAGATATAAAGATACGAGGCGAAGCCAAGTATCTTTAGGTCTATAAAACACGCACTGCGAATGTTTTAAATTGCTTCAAAAACGATCGATTTAATAAGTTCATTAGCGAAATAATTTTCAAAAAATACGTTGTGTAAGTCGAGAAAATCAAAGTTAAAGGTAAATCAAGGGAAATCTCTATTTTTAAAAATTTCTAAAATTTCTAAAATTTTATCATGGCTTGAAAGAGCATCACAAAATTAGTAATATTCCAAAGTTTCGTTGCGAAATGTTGTAAAATGTGGATAATATAGCCCTGCGAAGTTTGCCGTTTTTCAGTCATTTTGTATTACGCACGGGAAATTGATACCTTTTGTCAGAAAGCGGCATGGCCCCAAATTTCTCTCAACACAAAGTACTGTTTGTGCATACAACGAAGATATTGTAATGCATGCAGGCACGTAGCTGTCAGTATTTTATGCATCCATACACTTAGCACGGTTCAGGCATTGAAATTATAAGAATAGGACAATTTCTATCAAGGTTTTCTTTTTTTTATACACCCTGTAGAACACTACACACATTTGACCACACGTTGATGAGGCTGCCTCATACCCAGGCGTCTCTTTGTAAAAAAAACAGTGATGCGCATATGACGAGTTTACATGAAGTATTGTAGTGTGGAGAGATGGCGAAGGGGCTGTTGGGAAGAGTGCACTTGACCCTTCCCAACAGCCCCTTCGCGCGTCGGCTGCCTACCTGAATACTTCATGTAAGCGCCTGGGTACGAGGCAGTTTATGAGGTATAACTACAATGACAGTCAATGTACAGTATAACAAGTTCAGCGTCGAAACAAATGCACTTAAAGAAACACAGATTTAATTGGAGTGCCGGTCCAGCATATACAGGGTGTATAAAAAAGGAGACCTTTAGAAATCAAGCATATTGTTAAAATTTGAATGCGTTTTCAATTGCACATATGCTGGACCGTGCATGGTGCGTGAAATATTGATGGAGTGCATATATTAGAAAAAGGAGACCTTTAGAAATCAAACATTGTTATAATTTGAATCCTGGAGCACTTTGTTAAGCCCACGAGTGCGTAACATGCGATCTACGTACAGTATTCATGGCAGATTGTTCCCAGGAGCAGACAATCATTTGTTTAAACGTTATTTCAATTTCTAAAGGTCTCCTTTTTCTAATATATGCACCCCATCAATATTTCACGCACTACGGTTTAGCATATGTGCAACTGAAAAGGCATTCAAATTTTAACAATATGGTTGATTTCTAAAGGTCTCCTTTTTTTATACACCCTGTATAGTGTGTACAGGGTGTATAAAAAAAAACGCAACCTCGGAATTTCCCAAGAAATCGACATTGTTTTAAAGACAAAAGATTTTAGGCGCCTGGGAATTTAAAATAGCATAACTGTCAAAATTACTGCACACGCGAGTGCATAAAGCAAAATTTATGCATTTATTTAATGCACAACAACAGTAATATGATCTATTAGCAATGCGATTTCAATTCCCAGGGGCCTAAAATCTTTTATGCTTAAGAATTGCAAAGTGATTTCTTAGGAAATTCCGAGGTTCCTTTTTTTTTTATACACCCTGTACATACCATTCTTTAATCGCATGAGCTTCATGCATCAACAGCCAAAGCACAAACCATTTTGCTATACGTACAATTTGTTGAAGCATTCGTTTCCATCGTTCGGTCTTCAACAATGACTCTGCATATAATACAGTCAGAATATTTCCATTCTTCCAATGCCTTCGCTTCTTTATCGCTCTCGATTCAACTTCATAATGACACAGCACTGACTCCTAGATCGTGTAGTTTT